CGTGTGTAGCCCATACCAGGCCTTTTGCCGCTTGATAGGCTATTGGCAGGATACTTCTGGATTGTTGCGAAGGACTGCTGCACACAATTCACGCGCAAGGCCTTACGGATTATCATAGCTTACAGTGGATGTCCGAAAGTCGAGCACAACGGGGCGTGCCTTCGATTCGCCCACGTAAACCAGACGTCAGGGTTTTCTATTCTCGGCTTGCGTCTGGACGAATCAACCTGGGGTCACGCAAGGAGAAAGAGTTCGCGTAAAGAAGACTATCTCCTCTCTTTGTAGGCTTGGAGGGAACGGGCCTCTTGGAAAGCGATGCATTCTAGAGGCCTCTTTGGAACGGGCCCTCGAGTGTCTCGTTGCGTGGCCATCGTTTGGCGTATACTCTACAGAACTTTGCCCCGTTCCACGAAAACGTTTGGGTAGGGCCATATATTTCCGTCGTTAACCACTGAATCACTAAACGACAGTCAGCGAGACAGGTTTTTGCTTCAAGAAAAAGGCTGGACATCATTTCCTCCCCTATGTGCTGCTGTGCTGACCCTGTAGTGGCGCGGGAAGGATGGTACCATCCTTCTCCTTCTTCGACGTTGAAGTCGAGGTGTAACACACAAGAAGTTCCATCCACTCATAGTTCGGCCGTCACTCGAGACACAAACCCCGTTCTTGTGAAGCCACCGAGATTCAAGCAAAATTGAAACGTCAAAACACATTGCGAACAATCCAATAATCGCTGGGGCAATCAGCGGTGTGTCTGCGAGAGTGTTGCTTTCGCCGTATCTATCTTGGGACGGCCGTCTACACCGTTCGCACGTGCTTTACGGACTAGCCGTGGTCTAAGACGAGAAATATCGACGCGAGAGTTTTGTTTGTTTTCCACCTTTCCGTTTCCACTGCTTGACTTCAACAGTTTCGCAAGGAGAGTTGAGTTGTGTCCATCCTCTCGTTTGGTGCGTACTCACGGCGACGGTGGCAAAGTCGACTACAACTGGGCGCCCATGTTTTCGGATTTACCGTCTACGAGAAACGGCATCAATACGCGTCCCTACGCATAGCGTTCAGGTACACACCACACGCTTCTTTTGTGCGGTCAACGTAAGTCGTTCGAATCATCCTCTCCAACTGGTTGGTCTTCACCTCAACACAAGCGTACTCACAAATCATCCTGAAAGAAAGCCATACTTCATAGCTCTCCATCCAGAACAAAGGGATCACTCCCTCGCATGCACACGAACCAGGGCGATCCGGGAGTATCGGACACCAACCTCAGGTATAGCACATCCCCCGGAGCCTGAGGTCCTGCTGGAAAATATCGCCTGCTGCAACCTTCAACCCACGACACTGGCACAGAGGAGTAGCGCAATACACCCGGATGTCTTATTCGAAAACTCCGGTGACACGCAAACACACACAAGACGTTTTACGACCGTCGTTAGACCTGAGCAGCCTCGGATTGTGGCGAGACTTGCTGTGTTTCTTTTAACGCCAACGCCAGACCACTAAAGGGACGGAATACAGACTTCCACCGTCAATCGTACCGTGTGCGCCATGCGGCACGCAAACAGAACCGAAACGATACGAGATGAAGCAATGCCATAGAGGTTTGTCATTTGTTCTCGTCCCACGTGGTGTTAATAATTTGGGCAACGTGAAAGGCGTCGAGCCAACGGCTGGGATTCGAGGTAGCCACCGTCAACGGGCCATCGGGTGAAGCTTGTGGGCAAGATGAGATGAGGGCGCCAAAAATCGAGTACTTGAGCACGGGGAATCAATCGCGTTGTCTTTGCTTTGGGCTGCAGCCGATGTGCAGAAAGAGCGAAATCCCCAAACTTTCTGCAAAAGCCCACCCAGGTTTCACATTTCCGCTTTTCAACCTTTGGAATTTGGTGGCGCGGAGTGATCGTCGCACGATATCACGAAGAAGTTCGTCAAGCGACGGTATCGCACAACCTAAAACCAAGCAACTAGTCCAGAGGGGCCACACCGCACTTGGACTCTCAGTACCTTACATGTAGCGGAAGGCAGTCACGAGCAGGTCCCACCCGCGTTATCTTGGCTTTAACTTACCGCCCCATTCACGAAGGATGTGTGTTACAAGACAACGGGCAGTCCTGCCAAAACGTGGACCAAAAGGTGACAGCGTCTCCACTATGTGGACTACTGGCTATTTGGCGCAGCAAACCTTCTCGGTGAGCCTACATAGACCAAATATTTCTAAGGTCCTGGAAGTAGATAGGTTTCAATCAGTACCACAAGACAATCTTCATTCCCATGCAACAACTTGAATACCCAGCAATCGAGGGGAAACCTGATGGGATTCAGCTCCATGCTGAAAACGCGAACAACCGGCACAAGAGAGGCTATCTGGACTTGAATAAAATTTCGGCTGTCTCGTTGCTCGCTGCCCTGGAGTCGTTTGACGACATGCTCGCCTGTTTCACAGCCATGCACATTTAGGAGAGATAATGAACTCGTGAGGTTGTCGTTTCTGTAGAAGTATCCGTCCCTCACCACAATCATTTATCATTCCCCCCGTCCTCCACGTCGCCGCTGCTTGCACTTCGTCGGCATTCTCGGCTGTGCGTTGCATCATGTTGAAGTTGATGTAGTACAGCAGTTAGTTGTTGTTTCCCACCGACGGGAGTTCGTCCGAGTTCTGGTTTTTTTCCATCAGGCCGGACAATGTGCTGTGATGTACGTGGGGGACAATACATCATTTAATGTGTGCTGCCATTGCGCCCAAATCCACAAATCCACAAGTCCACAACAAAGCATAGGCTACTAGTTGTTTTGATTCATATTACGAAGCTCCTGCCTGCTCGGGATGCGGGCCAACTACCGGCCTGGAGACTTCATGTCTGTTGTCTCTTCGCTTCGTCTTTGATTCAAGAGGACTCTGAGCAAGTTACAGCAGTATCGGGCAACCGATGTTGCAGCAGATGGTTGTTGGATCTGGCCCATGCATTCCACTGGGCATCGTCGAACCTTCGAGCCGATTCTCGAGCGTGTCAAACAGAGAGCGAAAGATGGCCGGGCCTGCGTCGGTTTCATCCACGGGGAGTTTCGCCGCACGTCTGCACGAGTTCCGCCGCACCTCGTCTCGCTCTCTGGCTCTCTACCTACTCTACCCTCTACCCTCAATCATTGGCCGTCAGGTCAGTGACATGACGATTGTGGCATTGGTATCGGATCACAGTCGGCCCAGGCGATGGCGTCCGCCGCCAACCCTCGCGGCGACCCGCTGTGTATTCGAGCTGATCGACACGACAACTCCGGCACTGGTCGTCAAGAGAAAGCCCTGCGTTTACCCGGGGGCAGCACGACACCGTGAAGCGCTGAGGTGAGACAGCGGAGGCGGTGTGATACTCAGATTCTGCTGCCACTGCAGCACCAGATAGGGTCCTTCCTTCTGGAGATAGATGTTGTTGAGGGCCTTCAGCAACAAACTCTCTTCTGGTACCCCTGAATGCCGGAGAACGCCCGTGTCCACTTCCACATGGTGTTAGTCTAGAGACTTGATGATACGTTGGTCATTTGCTTACAAAACTTCATCTGGAGGGAACATTTGCCGAAGTTTCATCTGGAGGGAACACGACAGAATAGAAGATGTCAGCACTTTTCTTGTGTCTCCTCGACGCTTGTACGGCGTGCGCGTACGTCTCTCACCGCGTTGATAACATGGGTTGCATCGGCTATATATGTTCACTATCCGAGAGTAGCACGAGTTGATAGAGGTACAGTAGTAGAACAAGTTCAGAGATAGGGAGTGAATGATACACAAGAAGGCAGGCAGAGACAAAGACATAGCAGACTACCACACTCCGACTTATGTACGCATTTGGTCTACATCCCAACACCCCGAGCTGTTCGTTTCTCCCCTGCAGACGGCGACATGCGATCACCTCGCCTGACCCTGCCAGCAACTTGTTTTCATTGGTGGTGGCCTATGCAGCTCATATTTCCATGCCCCGAAATTGTGTTGGTTGTGCGTAGACGCGCGAAGGTGCTCACCGCAACGGATCCTACCACCTTGGACATCAGAGGTGGCGATTTCTATAAAGACTTTGCGGCAGAGAGCAGACTCGCTTGTCTCGAGAGCAAAAAGGTGCGCACCGAACATCATTCCAGACTGCAGCTACTGTAGAGGATAACTCACTTTCGAGCGCCAGATAACCTCGTGCCTGTGCTTGGAATGATCTCCGGGAAACTCCTTTAGTTATGCACGGTTCGGGCTTGGAAGAGCGTTTGGCATGCCAACGATGCATCTGGTACTCTCGACTGGGTGTACGAATGTCGACCCCTTTGTTGTCTGATAGTCGCGATGTGATTCGGGTAGAGTTATTTCGACAAACTACTTCTCCAAAGGGGTTAACGGAGACTACCAACAGTAGTCAACGGGTATTATTCTCGGGGCGTAGTTCACGCTATACCCTACCCTTGCTCTCGTGGAACTGAACAGGAAATCAGATCCTTCGATGAAGCGCGGGCGAGGGGAAGCGAAGGACAACCCTCTGGCGAACGACGGCGGCAAGAGGTGAGCTCCTGCTTACCTCCTCCATGAAAGCAGATCGTTGTGCACCCCTGATAAACTAGCCTTTTATGGGGATGGAAATTCTGGAGCAAAGCAGCCTACGAAGTAACCCCCACCAGACACTCGAAATTACAGCTGCTGTTGACCCAGCGCGTACGAGCAGAATATCGTTACCAAAACAGAGTTTGTCCTGTCCACCAGATATGATTGAACTTCACTACCACCAAACTTGTATAGAACCTTTTGGACGCATATCGCAGAATAGTTTGCTCCCAACGTAAGGACCTCCACGAAGGTCCGGCCCACGCTAAACAATCGTCGTGGACGTCGTGCCAGGAGCGTACTTGAACACGCACGCCACACAGGTCGCCCTTTACGGTATTCTACCACTGCCCTCTTGGTCTAACCTCTTTTGCAGCCTACGCCTGAGGCTTGGAGCCCAGACGCTGCCAAGCTCTCCGAGGAAGCGATGACTGCGGCCTCTCAGCCTGGGGGTCTTGGAACGGGGCCCCGCGTAACCTTGTCGGACACCTACCGCAGCTTCCGGGTACTAAACCTCGCCGAAAGAAATATCACGACGGTGAGAGGAACCTGCTGCCTTCGGCGTACACGGCGTGGGGGGTCTTCCGTCCGCGCTGTGTCTTCCTGGTTCGGGTTCGACTCGCGGACCCTTTCAAACCTCGGGGACTAGTTGTGTATCCGTTTGTCATCGAAGTGAACTTGGGTTCGCGCCGTTACCGAGGGTCTAATGCTGACTGATCTGAACACCAGGCATGGATGGGCATTAACTGCGACACCAAGCAGTAGGTGTGTTGAGTGTCGCGGTAGGTAAGGTGAACAAACGCTCGGCACGGCAATCTCTTGCAGATCGACCTCGCTTTCGCGCACTTCGAAAACCTGACGGAGCTGGACTTGGGTCGAAACCGCCTCCAAAAGCTGGAAAACCTTCCGAAGGGACTTGTATCACTGTCGTGCGCATCGAACGAGCTTTCCGGTGAGAACCACTCATGCGTGGTGGTGCAGGGCACACGAAAGACGGCCACAACGCGGTCGCGCCTTTTTGCCCCGAAATTCTACCTGTGGTAACGTAACAAGCACTCCTCGTCGTTGAGTTGATGTCCAACCCACCGGATCTAGAGCGGACAGAGGTTTAGGCTGTGTTCGGGGTTTCCGACAATAGCCGCATAGATTGCACTGAACCTTATGTTTGTTCTGTGAGACTACATTTTGAGCAGGAAGCCAAATTTTGCTTGTAAGTTTGTCGTGTCCTGCTTGTTATCTCGCTCAGTGAAAGTATAGACTGCACCTTGACATCTCCGTCTTTGGGGCGAGAGAGTTAGACCGGATCCGACCGTGTTTGGTCTTTCGTTACCCGTTCTCATGGTCACGCGCACCTTTCAAGCTCTGAAGAAGCTCTCAACGTTGAGCATCTTGATTCTTCGAATATTTTCGTATGATCTGCACCCGAAACCACCACTAGGACGCGCGTTGGACGGCGTCACCGGACTGCCTCTCCTCTGCTCCCTAGACCTGTCTTTCAACAATCTAGAAGTGCATTCGCTCCTCCCGCCCCCGAAGGCCGAGCTACCACGGCGGTGCCTCCTCAACGCCAGCGGCCACAACATCGGCGATCGACCAGCCCAACCAACCAAAAACGGAAGCGACGGCGACGACGGCGTGCAGCGACAATTTCGCCGACCCGAAGCACCGCCCCCGCTCGCAACGGGAGAAAAGTATATGCACTTCCAAGAGAAGTTCTCTTCCTTGGAGCACCTGGATATTTCGTGGAACTGCCTTTGCGACCTGGATCGGCTCCTCCGCACCTTGATGCGAGTGCCGTGGTGCATAGAGAGTCGTCTCCGTGCAATGCTGGTCGTGTTATTGTCAGCCCTGCTCTTGGGCACCATGAAACTATATTTCGATGTCTCCCAATAAGTTTTCTTCGGTGTAGCACTCTAATCCGGTACGACATTGGACATTGGGAGATGATTACAGCAAAACCCGACTAAATGGGGCGGGGGCGTGGAGAGGGAGAATCACAACATGGCCACCATTGATTCCCAAAGAACGAAAACACAGAACGCTGCCTGCCCTCATCCCTGCCGGTGGCGTGCTGATGTGAACAGCCGGTGGCCATCGCGTTCCCGTCTGATCAGGTCTGGAAAATCCGCGTTGTCCTTCTTCCGCCTTCGCCCCCACTTCGCCGCCGTCCTTTCGCCACAGCCCGCTGCAAGACAACCTTCGGCACCTCTTTCTAGCGGGAAACCCGTTCTGCCTCCTCCCGGCCTATCGAGAGAGGGTCTTGGGTCGAGGGTTCGGGCCTGGTTTGGTTATGCTGGATGATCTACCCGTCAGCCCAGTCGAGTATCGCTCCGCTGCAGCAACTGCGGCTGCCGTGGAAAAGGCTCAGGAGGGTTGCTTAGACGGCGTACGTGAGAATGAAGATGAAGACCACAATAAACGTCCGCGGGGTAAAGGCTCTTTCGAGGCGGTGCACTTCCATGTTAAGGTATACGCATGTTTCTTGTTTCCTCCCATGGTTCTTGAGGGTGTCATGTGGCAGGGAATCGCTGCTCGGTTCAGGCTATGCGGTAGGGGCAAGATGCGGGAAGGCTCCCTAACGGCGACATGGGGCAAATAGTCCGCGACACGACGCGCATGTGGTAGGCGAATGTCCGTTTCACACGCAAACTACGGTTTCCCACTACCAATATTTCGGAACGCCCGTACAAATGTCATCGTCACCAAATTCATGGTTTCGCCGCTGCCAACCCCCTCACATGCTGCTTCGACCGCACACCCACCGCGTAGATCCTGCTGTCCATCGCCCTCCCTCCCCACCGTAACACACACTCGGTGCTCATTTTCGCAACCACGACGTGTTCATGATGCACTGCTGGACAATCGCTGCGCACACTAGCTGCTGCGCTTATCAGGGCTTCCGGACCTCGGCACCACTACTCCCGAACGCCCCCGATGCACGGCCAGCGCCGCCGTTGCTGCAACGCCTCCTGCCTCGGGCGCCGGGAAGGCAGGAGCGGTCCGAGGGGAGACGGCCAGTAACAGCGAGGAAAGACGGGAAAAGGAGGAACCACCGCCCCTGCAGAAGTGGGGGGACGTTGAGGTGGGAATGAATGATCGGACCCTTTTGAGAAAGCCGGAACAGCTACCGGTTTCAAACCGGAAGTTAGGCACTTCGCTTCCTCCGAGGAAGGGAGTCCTTCCACGATGTGTTTCGAGGCATGTTGGCCACGAATTTGCTAATGTTTCGGGAAGAAGGTTGGAGTGTTCCTCGAGCCCTCTCCTTTCAAGCCCTAGGAACATACTCTACAAAATATTTTCACGTGTTTCATGGCCCCCCCACGTGTGTAGGCACGTCTCCGAGCGAAGCCGGTGTTGATGTGTTCAACCACGATCCGGTTCATGTTTCAGACCTGACGTGCGCCTGGAATATTCTCTGTTCAGTCTGCAAGGCCGAGGGCGATGCTGTTGTAACTAGAAGCAAAGCCCGCCGTGCTGCTGCCACACTCCCAGCTGAGGCTGCGTTGGTGGCAGTGATGGTATTGTTGCTGCCGGTGCGTCCTGGGCTCGAGCTGTCCACGAGATGGGCTCAATGAGATCCCCAACGTTGCCCAGGAAAATGTGATTGATGGGTCAGATGACTTACTGTCGAATGGGGAAATACATCTCGCCGTGTGTGTGTTTCGGTCTCTCGCTGTCTCCGTCCCGCTCTGGATTTGTTTCAGTTCCTTGTCCCAGGCGACAACCACTACAGCGACAACCACGACAGCCCTGCAAGAACGGGATGGTTCTCCTGGGCTGCCGAGGTCGTCCCTCCTCTGACTGAAGCCCCCGACGCCGACAGCAATGATGGGCGGTCCGAGCAACCACAAACCGAGCAAGAGGCGGTCGATTCCACCGCTTCAGACGTTGCAAATAATGGCACGCCTTGGGAAGTGTCCGTCGCACTTCCTCCTTCTAGGGAGATGCGGGACGATGTGCGATTCCAAGGGTTGCGCGTCCAGCTTTTCGTCGGGGACGACGAGCGCGAGGCCGAGGTGAGAATGTTATGGAGTGTTGGCGACGCTGTTGTTGATTAGTTGACTGATGTTTGAACTTTGACGTTTTTTCACATTGGTGTTGATGTTCGGTATGTGCTGCTCTGCACAACACATCGCCGAAGGCACACAGTCCCGTATTCCTCGCGGCAATCGTGCTGATATCCACGTCGAGGAGGAATTTACGCTCGACTGATGCTCATTTCTTCAAAACGAATATCGGCGCCAACTTCCCGTCCACGACTGTCTTGCACCAAAACACGGCTAAACCATTAGTCTTCTGTGTCCGTCCGAAGAGGCCAAATATGACAGCAAGGTGAAGACTCGGATGTTTTCCGTACCTCCGGGTGTTCCTCACCTGCTTTAGGGGCGCTGAGCAGAAGAATCCGTCTGCACTCAGATTTCCGTCCATCAACCCAACGTCAACTCATGGTGTGCCGGCATGTTTGATTTGTTTCCTCTATGCCTTAATAGGGCTGCAGTGTCTGGGTGAAAACAATAAACTCCTCGTTTTTTTCGTTTATCACACGCGAACACGTGTTATGGGTCCCAGGGAGAGGAGGAAACAGTCGAGGGGGACGCGTCATCACCGGCAGAAGCAGCAAAAGCCGTAAATAACGTGGATTCCGTTGTTGACGGTTTCAGCTCAACGGGTGAACCAACGCACCCCCCGGGAGGCGAAGGGGATGTCGAAGGTAAGCAAAGGCAGTGCGGTAGGATGTGGGGATTGGATCAAGGTCTTTGCGCGACAGAACCAGGCTGCGAAGGAATACGTCGGAAGGATTTGGTATTTCGTTGTTGAAATCATTGCGGTTATTGTGGTATCTAGCAAGCAAGAGTTTTTCGTCACCTACACCGTTTTTTTTTGGCTCCACAACGTTGCAAGAAAAGTTGCAAACTTTTCTGCAACTTTGCTCGGGAACTTCGTCAGCAACACTTTTTGTGCACGCTCATGATGGGACAAAGAACGTTTTGTGCACGGGACTGGCGGAATGCGGAGGCGTGATTGTTTTGTTTTTTTCAACGGCGAGAAGAAGGCACGCACCTTTCATATTGCACCTCGATAGAATCGGTGAAAGCGTGCGGGAGAGGGCAGTTGAAACCCTTTTTTCCCCACACTCACGATACCCCAAGGCATCTAACCTGGTACCAGAAAGATGCTGGCTAGAGCTAGCTCCCTCGGGGTGGCATTGCTGTTGCTGTTGCCTTCTCCTTCGAAACGTTATCGCTGGAATACCAAACCATGCGCACACAATCCCTGCGAACTTGAACCAACCGCTCTCTGACGTGGGTACTTTGGGGTCGATCAAAACGTTTTTCCCGGTGCGCGCGAAAGCCCACGGCACCAAACCGTGGGCATGAAAGATGAAGAAGAGAGCTACATCCCACCGAGCGGCCTTGCTATTGCTGTTGCTTCTCCTTCGGAAAGTTATCAGTGGATAACCAAACCCGTGGCGGTCAAAAACATGGAACCTGAACTTGAACTGACCGCTCGCGGCCTTTGACGGTTGTGCACAGCGCATTTTTTTTTTCCGACGCGTTCGGCACCTCACGGCGCCAAACCTTGGCATTGCCCAACAGCCCATGGCATCGCCCCCTTCCAGATACCATTCATGAGGCAACTCGTTGAGAATTCCTCCGGATATCGGTGATCACAGCCTGCCCACAATCAATGCTGGAGAGGATCTACGTGAGCGGTAGGGGTAGCACCTTGACGTCAACCGGTATGATTCCGCCGTCCAGCTTTTCTCGCCCCTTTCCGACTCGAGAAAAGCTGCAAAACGTTTCGGCCAGATTGCAGCTTTCCGCTCCGGAAAAGAAGTTGCAGAACTTTTCGTGCATTTTAACTCCGATACTGAGCGTATATTACCAATGCTGCAACAGAAGTTGCAGAAATGTGGAGCCATAAAATGCGATGTTATTATCCCACCCATGGCGAAAATTTCCCATGTTGAAACAACTAGGTAGAACCCATTTCACATGTCCCTGCATGTCTTCCATCCGGTTGGTGGAAAAGGTGAGGCACAAGACCAGGATAGAGTGAGGCCACAGATGTTGCCGTCGCGGCGGCGACGGCTCGCGGGACGCGGGCACCTTTCCCTGTCACCTTTCTTGGACCCCGCCTGGATGATGAGGGAGCAGCATCAGCCCCAGCCCCAGCAACGGCAACAGGAAAGGGGTGAAGACGTGACGGAAGCGGAATCGGTGGTGACAGCAGGTTTGTTGCCCATCGCATGGTCAACACTGAGGGCCTCACATTTGTTGGACAATGCTCAGTGAAGGCTGTGGGTTCGTTGATCTATTGATACATGAAGCACAATCGTCGACCGTCGTCAGAGTTTGTTTTGGGTGGTTAGGGTATTTCTCTAGTGTTTCCTCGCCCGGAAAATGGCAAGGGCGGTAGGGCTGCTGGATTCAGTGGAAGCACGAAACGGTTGTGCGGGACTGAGCCTGTGAGCCTAAACGCACCTCGCCGTCGTCGTGTATCTTGCCGGAAACCACGTTCTTTCAAACAACGCAAGACGGGGAGGCCGGTGGAAAGACTGGAGCACCAGCCGGAATGAGGACCTTGTTTGGTGTCAACGATGGAGCCGCCGCTCCAGCCACGATATCGGGAGAGTGCAACGTTGTGCTCGAGCCATGGGTGGTGGAAACGATGCGAAAAGGTATGTATGATTCGTACCGATACGGATGAAAGGTGCTGAGCAGAGGCCGAGCGGTTTTCTAGGAATCTAACAACAACAACAACATCAACAACAACAACGACCACGACCATAAGGCCACGCAAAATAGTGGACTACACTATCGACGAGGGAATGGAACGGCTGGATTTTCCTCGCAAAACAAGTTCATAAATATCGCAGGGATCCACCCTTGTTGCATCAATGCTGCTTCTGTGAAGGTGTGGCCCGTCGGAAGAGGGAACGGTTGGAGAGAAAAGAAGCGGCACGGGCAGAGGCCGAGGTGAATGCCGCCAATGACCCCAAAGGAAAGAACTCCAAAGCGGCTGCTGCTGCGGCGGCTACAGCGAGACTTCAAGAAGGAGACGAGGAGGAGGAGGAGGAGGAAGAGGAAATCGGGCCTTCCCCTTCCGCTAGAGCAGAGGTACGTATGGAACGTACTGTAGGTGGTTCGGGATGTTCTTACAACTTGTGTAACGTTTGTTCCGTCAAGAAGGCGTAATATTGGACAACCCCCATGTACACCCGCAAAGAAGCGTCGATTCAGTCGTCTGTCGCACAATCTATCATGGGGGGCATCGAGAATGGGTGTAGCGAGAAAATCGTTAAGATCATAGATGAAAATATTGTTGTCATCAACCTGTCCTTGCCCTTCGGTCAGAGAAGTAGGGTTGTCCCTTGCTATCGCGGATCAACCGCAGCTTCAGTCGGGAAAAGGAGACCATCGGTGCGGTGTACTGGACCTCCCCATCTCGTCGGGCGTTCATTTCTGGATCCAAAATACCGTCACGTCATGTATTTGCAGGTGGAAGTGACGCTTAACCCGGGCATGGCTTCGCTAGCGGTCGCCACTACCGGTTCGACTGCTGCTGCTCCTGCTGCAGCCGATGCCTGATGAAACTGCAAGTAGCTGGGTCCTCTGTCGTGTACGTGCGCGCCCCAGCCAAGGAATCAAGAAGCCTTGGACAAAGCAACGCTGTTCATCGGTATTGGCGGGTGGTAGGTGATACTGAATGTTTCGATGTCTTGAAGGGGGACAAGATAGCGGACCGGTACACGAACGGTCGACGGCAAATTGTTCATGATGACCGAACATCTACCCACGTGACGCCAATTGGTCTCAACGGACGCCGCACGACATGTTGTCCAGTGCCTCCAGTGAGTGATCAACAAGTTTTTCATGCAGCGTACGCATCCACGAAACAACTGCAATTTCAGGAGGCTTCAGTGCACAATCAAACAAACACCTTGCACCACTGAGGGTGCTTCCAATCCAGACCCTATTGCTCGTACCAGGTATGCAACATGGATAGGGTTATGCAAGAAAAATGAAACCCCGTGCGCATCAACTACAGTTGAAACCGAACATTTCTATATTCACCACCCCGCCATCTGAAAAACGGCGAGGTCAGGATTCAGGTCATAGGAGCATGGTGCTCTGCTCGTCACGAAGCGTCCAAAGGTTATCTACAAAACCAAACGGGGAAAGTCTCAAGATCGCGTTCGCAGACGTGGGCGGTGGACACGTCCGCAGGCGTCCACGGCCGTCCCAACTTAGTCCGCGAACACAAGAACCTGTTATACATATGGGAGTCCTGTACGTCCAATCCGTACGCATCCATCTCTCGACCAAGTTGTTTACGGCCTAAATGTTGACGCCAATATTCCCGAGCAGGTGCCCTTCACTCGAGGAGTTCGTCGTCGTCACTTCGTCGTGTTATCGGTCACACAGAAACAAATGCGTGACTCCGTGGTCCCTCTTAAGCCTTCGCGAACGTCCGATCCTTCGTACATTTGCGCCCCGAGAGAGTGGAATGCCGCTTAGCCTGTTGAACAAGATCGCCCTTTGCTCAACTGGCCCCATGGTTTGCAGAAACATCGATCGCTTCCGTACCCGGCAAACCCGTGGCTATGCTCCAGTGCGGAAAAAGCCACGTTGCAGCATGAAGGAAGACCTGTCGTTCTTTTCGTTCGGATGGAATCGAACTCAAGCGGTTAGCGACAACTGCGCTTCTCGGGACAGCCGTCGTAGCCGCTGCTGCGGCACCACTTCCGAGGCCGGGTGGAACAAACCTCTCCCTCCTCACACGCGGCCGGGTTATCGCAGGTGTCGGAGCAGTAGTACTTGCCGTTTCTGGCATACTGGAGGCACTCCTGAAAGGACGATATCGCACACAGGTGTTCGGCACGTTTTAAGGCGCGATCGGAAGCAGTCGGACCAGAGGATATTATTGCGAAAGCGAATAGGACCAGGCACGTTTTGCCCTCTTCCTCCAAGGCAACGCTGATTCGGGATGATGGTAGCAACGCAGCCGACGTTGCCCGCCCCACTCAAAGGAGCATGCGCGTGTCTATATCGCTTTATTTATCGTGTCCTCATTCAAAAATCAGGGACGTTGAGCCGTCCAGGTGACAATGAACAGCTCGCATAGCTCGCCAGCGCGAAAATAGATGTTGTCGGTGCGCGAGGAGTGAACGGTATCGACGTGAAAAGGCGTTGAGCGGTCGCCTGTCACTAGTGATGAGCTGCGGGAATCAAGTTCCGATACATTAACTTCTCCAGATAAGCTTCCGATGGCGGTTCTACTGAACACCTCCTCGAGTTACTTTTTCTTCATAAATATTGAGGACATGTGGGATGCCACTACCGTAGAGCTTCCGAAGAGGCGTAGCTATTCCCTAAGTGCAATAGTCTATATGTGGAGTCCACTGCATTTTCCGTCTTCCTCCGCGATAGTGCACGGCCACTCCTCAAACAGCCGTGGTTGCGACGGGACGCCCCCCCCGCAGAACCATATACCACTTGAGCACCAAACCCAACCATGAGAAACGTGTGGTTTGTGTTCAGTGTTCGTCCTCAACGACGACGGGCGAAAAAAGCACCAACCTGAGTATCATCACACGCTCCATCGCAGTTTCCGGTCGCTTCGCAAGATGCCACGGGCGGGCACGGTGCGCGGATGCACTCAACCTCGGTCAGAACGCACGTCTCATGGTCCGCACACCGGTCCGGGTCGTCGCAGGTGTCGGCGCAGTAGTACTCCGATTCCAGTCCGTCTTCGTACAGCAGGCATTCCTGTAGCGTCGGCCGGGTCCACAAAAGGTAGGGCGGTGCTGTGAAAAACGCCGTCTGTTTTGACGTTTTCAAGAGTATCACAGGGGACACTTGGCTGGGGATCCGTGGATTAATTATGCAACGATGAAGCGAAATTCGTCGGTTAGTGCGCCTGTGCAGCCGAGCATTGCATGCATCGCAGGGAGAAACTGCGCCAAGGCTGTCACCAAAGCGTACATCGTCGTACTTCAGTCTGCTCGGTCAGAGCCAAAGGACGCCGTCCTCCGCAGTCTGTTCCCGAATATTGGCAAACGTACGCGCAAGTGCAAGCAAGACCACTCTCAGGCCGATGGCACGGTGTCAGGTACAACGGCAACATTAACACGAAGTGCACATGCATCGCCGACACGTTCTACACGTAGAAGGTTAGAGCGCGAACCTAGCGATTGGTGCCAACAGGCAACCCCGGGTGCATGTACATTGTGCCTTGCCGTTATGGAGGAACAAGGAAATAAAAGGGGGAGGGAGCAAGTTCGTTGCTCCTGGCTTCGGGTACTCACAGTTGTTTGATCTCTTGTTTTGGTCTGAGACCAGGTCCGCTTAGCGCCCACTCGGAGGGCTGGGATTTTGATCTTCCTTCAAGCTATTTCAAGACCCCTCAACGACGCCAACTATCCATATCAAGAAAATTCAAAATATCCAATAAGCGTTCGTACAACGTTCATGAAACGCTCGTACAATGCTCATGCACTAGACTAGTTGCTCCATAAGCGCTCATACAACGTTCATGGAACGCTCGTACAATGCTTATACACTAGTTGCTCCATTACATTGCCCCGCTATATGGATATGCGCCCATCGCGCATCACCTCGGTCACACATCAACAGACACAGGCAGGCTAATCCCGGCAGGATGATCACATACCTGAAATTCGCCGCACGATACGTCGCATTCGCTGCACCCGGCTTCCAGGTCGGCCTTCTCGTTATCCGGGACATCGCTCCAGACCCGCGCCAGGTCGCACAGGCCCACCGTCAGCTGGCCGGCCGTGCCGCCGCCGGTAGAATCGAAAGGGTCGTCCCCGGCCGGGTAGAGGCCGAGGAGGTACTCCTCTCCGATGGTGAGGTCGACGCCGCAGATGGCGCTGTTGCCACCGGTGACAAAGCTGATCTCGTCTTGGCCGTCGACGTCCCCGCTGTAGACAACGTTCACCTGGACGGTGAAGGTAACGTCTTCGTTGATATCTGTCTGCGCAGACCTGAGGGTTTGGAAGCAGACGGTGAAATGTTTTTGTTGGTCCGGTAAAACACCTTCACGTGCATCAAGAAAAATGTAGAAGCTATGCGGGTGAACAATGTACTGATTGATGTGTCATAGCAAGCTGCTTCTGGTGTGTGTTCGGCGCTGTTCCAGAACTGCATGCGCTGGACCTTGAACCAAAAACCCTGCAGTTCAACAGCAGTGTATGTCCACGGACAAAGGGTCATCACATATCTACATGACGTGGATAGATCGGAGAGAACGACATAGACAACAGGAGGAACTATTGGGTTGGCTAGGCACATACGAACGGAAGAAAATAGCCAAGGGGTAAACAATTTGGTTGAAGAGTAATGTAGACTCTAGTGTAGGGGAAACGCGTCAATGCGCGTACCAAGAAGCGACAACACAGCGGCAAAGCCCAGAGAGAACCGGAGCGTCCGCATCCCGGCGTCCTGTGGAAGGCGTTCGTTCATAGGACTGCACAACAATACAAAAAGCTGCACCGTTTCTTCATATGTTTGCTCCTCGCGGCGTCTGCTGTCACATTGCCCATGACGAGGTGGGCGTTGTGGTACACAAGAAGAATTGCCGCGTGGGTACTCTCAGTCGAGACACTGAAGCATTCTTCTGAGCGGTCGCAACACAAACGACACGCTCACGCAGGAGGCAATGGCCAGTGCTGCACTACGTGCGACGAAACAATGTACCCGAAGATGTTGGACGAGCTACAGTAGTCTAATGCTGCTGTAGCGTCCCATTCTCACTTGGACAGCGCGGTGCCTCGGAAGACCACAGTTGTGGAAGTGTAGGTCCCCTGGGCATATTGGCAGGGCGTGATGTACTGGGCGAGGCATGTGCACGCGGAGGCTTGCAAGGCTTGGTTGAGCAACAGAAGGGCGTACCCGAGAGCTGCGAAAGCTATGTGTGTCGTGCTGGGGGCCATGGCGGTCGCTCCACCAGCGTACTGGGTGCTGTAGTGTATTGTCGGTGAATTGTGGGTATGTAGGCATATGGCGCCAGGCAAGCCAGCAAGCCAGCACTGGCTCTTTTGGGGAAAAAAAAGCCAGCAAAAAATAATTCCCGTCCGTTGAGGCTGATTCTTTTACAGCCAGACTCTTCAGTTTTTCGGGTTGAATGAGCGAAATCCGGGTTCAGCTTTTTGGGTGGCTTCCACCCGAAAAGTTCGGAAGAAATCAGATGGTTCCCACCCAGGTTTCTCATCCCCAAAAGTTCACCGCTGGTGGACCCAGACGATATAATCGGCGAGTGCGACCTGAGTTCTTGACGTAGCGCTCCCATCAAGGGCTCCCAGCAACCCTAAGCCGAAGGGCTTACTATTCTGCTCGCCGGCTGTTGATGGTCGCTCGGCACGCGTGCGTAATACAAACATATCGCGTCACACCAAGCATGGGAGACGCCGAAACAGGCCAAACCGCCGCGAGTCAGCAAAAAGAGCCGTTTTTGGTCAGGGAGGGCAGGACACCGCAACTGATTTCTCGCTCCCTAGGCCACCGATCCAAGCCAGACCGTTTAGGGCGTGCTCTCTGTTCCTTGCTCTCTGCCGGAGTAGATGTTCTCAGCAGCTCGTTGATCCACTCATTCAAAGTC